TTTTACTTAGAGAACCCGATCCCGTTTACTTAGTACGTTTTTGAGATATAGCAACACCGGTGATGATTACCAGTGGTAGTAAATAGCAAACTCCTAAATTTAAATATAGTATTTTATAATAAAAAGTTTAATATAAATTAACTTTATTGATTAATTTAATTTTAATAATTTTTTTATATTTGAGATTAGTAAATATATCTTTATAACTTTTGTTAAAAATTTAAATACAAGTGAATCTTAATATAAAAAAGTTGCTGGGTCCAGTCAAAACCTTTCTTATATCGAGAGTTACTTGTAAATTATTTAATAAAAAATTTTTATAAGTTAAATATTTTATAAGATAACTAGTAAATAATATATAAAATTAGATTAAGTCTAAGTTTTTAAAACAAAAAATAATTATATAAGATTTTAAAAATATTTAAAGCTACCAAATTATTTATATACAATTATATGGATTTAAGATAACTTAAATGGTATTTAATATAGTAGTTGATTTTTAAAATTAGCAAAAAATCAACTTTAAAGAGTGTCACTTAGTAGTACAAAATGCTACCAATACTACAGGTAAATCCTATCCATTAAACTAAAATTTTTTAATAAATTTAGTAAACATGTACTATAAGAGTTATAAAGGAATTTATTAGTAAATATGTAACTGACTAATAACTCTGATCACCTGGCATTTGTAGGTTGAGAAATAGAAGTAGGTGTAGAAGTAGGCTGAGATATAGTTTTATTAGTTGCTGGATCAATAACTATACCATCTATTATTACAGTAAAAGAAACAATAATTAGTTTTATATAAACAATTTTGATTTCAAACTGGATTCATTATTTTTGGTAATAATACTTACCAACAAAACTATTACTATAAATTACAGCGATCAATTTTTTAATCAATGTTATATCCATTCTTTTATTAGAAATTAACTTTTGAGCATTTTCACTTGTTGAAATAAGGTTAAAGAAGGTATTAACAATAGCCTTGTTACATAGAGTACAAAAAGGTTTATAAAAGGTATCAGAGTAATCAGAGGTAGAAAAAGAATTTCCATAAATAATTGCAGCAGAATCAATCCAGCAAAATTCTGCTTTATTGTCTTTAAAACAAATTGAATCATGTAAAGGAGAATAAAAAACTAAACCAGGAAAAAGGATTGGTATTATTTCACTTTTTTGGTTTGATGAGTTTGAACATCCATCAGAAACACTTTGAATAGATTTTTGAATAAAAGTGTCATTGCATTTTGGTAAGCTACAAATGATTGTTGCAAAATTAATTAATGGTGGTACTAAATTTTGGAAATTTCCTCTAGGATCATTCGAATAATTTTTAATTGCAATAAGAACATTTGGATTTGTAAAAAGTGATAGTAAATTATTTAAACCTATACATTCAGAAAATTCATGATCTAACAAATTGATAAGACTGCAGCTCGACATTGTGGTGATAATAGAGAATTTTCAAATTGTTCTGATAAAGGAGTTTGTGATGATCCCAAATTCGCAAACGTAAGGAGAACAATTACTAAAAAAAATTTTATCATTTCTTTTTTGTTTTAATATATATTGAAATTATTTACGAACCTAAAAATCTTTGGGAAAAGTAATTTCTTAAATATCAATTTTTTGAGAAAATCATTCGTGTTTTCCTTTTAATATGCTGTATGTTTGTTCACTTTTTTATTAATATGATTAATATGATTAGTCGAAATACATGTTACTAATTACTAAAGCAGTGCGAGTTTATAATATTATAAATTTTAATCATCCAGGATCAGCTTGACGGAACAGATAATTTATTAATATGAATACTATAAACGTAATTTTGGATTTTTCAGACCTAGAATTATCAAATTTTGGTACGAAAATCTTTTGGTAAAGCAGTTCGCTGTGCAATTATCCATTATAATACGTCCTGCAAACATGTGAATGTAATTTTCTGATCGTCCATATACGTACGTACAGTACGTACTCTAGTGTAGTGTTGCATCCGGTCCTTCAAAAGACCCGGGGCCGATAGGACTAAACATCTCTGTGATCATCGTATCATATCACCAATCAATTATTTGCTCAGATCACATGATGTTGTTTATACTTGACGGTAAGTAATTTGACCAATAAAAATCTCATGCTTTGAGATATAAAGGAGTTTGTGACCGAGAACGGACCGTACCGGACCAAATGAGCCGTTTGCTAGGAAAATCACTTTTGAAATTACAGCTGTTTTCATTATTTTTGGGACATCTGTAAAAAAGTGACCGAATGATTGTTTGACCGATTCGATAAGTTT